GGGGGGGACGTGCGATTCGTGCGATTTTGAGCGCGCGCGGCAAATTGCACGGCAAAATTCGCGATTATTCAAACAACTCCGGCGCCTATCACTGGGGCACAAACTTGAAGCAGAGTACTTTAGTAGGTCCGGACAATCTCACTAACCTATTTACTTCGAATTTGGGCCCAATGGTAAACGCTGTAGTCGTCCAAATCGCACCGAATTTCGCAAGTGCAGACTGCTACTGGTGTGTAAATATGTAGCACCCCTGGGTATGGGTACATTCACCCAGAACTGGATGGATGCCGCAAACTGCGCGGCGAAATTCGTGGTGATTAAACGACTCTAGCCCGTATTATTAGGGCAGAAATTTGAAGTGGGTAGAGAAGTAGCATGAGCTGACCCTACTTATCCAATCTACTTGAAACCCGCGCCCCAATGATAGGCGCCGAAGCCGTTCTAATCATCAGGAATTTCGCCGTGCGCTTTGCCGCGTCCATCCAGTTCTGGGTGAACGTTCCGTCCCCCAGCACCCCTCCATGGCTGCTTTCATACTTCGACGTGCGTGACGGCACGAAAACGCAGGTACGATCTTGCGTGCGGCATGCGAGCGGCGGCGCTAGAGAGGTGTTGACAACATTGGACGCCGATGGATCACGTGCCAGTGCTGTGCTGTCACACACTTGTATAGTGCCGCCGTCGCACAGCCGCTCGCACGCCGCACGCAAGATTGTACCTGCGTTTCAACCTGCGTGTCACGTCGAAGTATGAAAGCAGCCCATCTTTTTGATGAGTGTCGTTTTTGCCTCATTGGCAGATCTCTTTGGTTTTCGAGACGATTTCTGAAATATTTATCTCCGAGCATTGCGTCTTCTTTAATCGCTTTTTTGGCTTTAATAGGTGCTACGAAACAATGGACAGCGAGTTGCCGCTCGCCAAAGAAAGGTAAGCAAGATGGAACAGTAGTCATCGCTGTGTTTTTCCTAGTATTTTTGTTCTCGGTGAGAATGTAGTTGGGCTGAGCCTAGAGTGCAGAGAAGAAGGAGTAGTCGAGCTTACCTGTGCTAAGTTCTTAGCCAAAGGAATATAGTTCTTACTTAAGCTTAGGGGGACGGAACATTCACCCAGAACTGGATGGACGCGACAAATGGCGTGACGAGATTCGTGGCGTTTAGGACGACTTTGGCACCTATCATTGGGGCGCAAACTTGAAGTAGAGTACATTAGTGTGGTCAGATGATCGTACCAATCGACTCTACTTCAAATTTGGGCCCCAATGATATGCGCTGAGGACCTTTAAATCGCCACAATTTTCGCAATTTCGCCGCGCCCATCCAGTTCTGGGTGAATGTACCCATACCCAAGCTTAATTGGGGAGGAGCACCGGGGTGAGTGAGAAAATTCTCTTGTGCCGCTGGGATCAGGTAAGACTTGAACATTCATTTGAAACACCTTTGCGGTGGTGCTTCCTCACGCCTCAGGCTTAGACAGGGAAAAAAACTATTTCTTTACTAAGTAGCGTTTTTAAGCATCATTATTGGCTGCTTTCAGACTTCGACGATTCGACCGACGTGCGTCTGTGGGTGCGTGCGCGCGTGCTTCCGTCGCGTGCGTGCAAGCGAAGGCGGTGCTAGCTACCTGTTGACAACACTGTACGTTGATGGATCACGTGCAAGTGTCGTCAACACCTCATTAGCGCCGCCGTTGCTCGCACGCACGCGACGGGCGAACGGGCGCACGTCGGTTTAATCGCTGATGTCTGAACAACTACTAACTCACAAAGTCGGCTACTCTTCCTTCTGTGCAATCTAACGCCCAGCATTGGACAAAGTTGGCAACCCCGCTCAACTGCACTTTCACCTCGTTTTCTTCTATTTGTTCATTTTCTGACCGTATTTTTTTTCGAAGTATTCCGCCCATAAAGCGCTCCCGGCACGATGAGCTCGCCGATTCCACGAAGCTCGAACCATCCATTGTCGTTCATGTGCGCAATCTCAACCCTAAGGTTCCATGTCTTCTATTTCTTTCATCGGAACATACATATCAATTTTGCAGTTCATTTGGCTTTTACATTGCGAATGCGCCATCATTTTAAGGCAATGGAAGCGGACTTGATAGATGCGCTTGGAACGTTTGGGTTTATCGCATATGTGACAGTGGTGCCTGCCCTAAAGATGGCATTGGTGGAGTTCGAGGAAATCGAAGGTGGGTGTCCTCTACTTTCTCTTCTAACCTTTCTGAAGCAATTGGACACCTCATTGCTTGATTAAATATCTACATCATCATTTTAAATCAGCTTGTCTTTTTTCATTAAGTGGGAATCATTCCAGCCGCTCGGGCTTGTGTCACATTTGCGGCGACCAATTTCATACCCGTTGCTGGAGACGTAGCAATGTTCAACTACTCCACTTCACAGCATATTCAGCGCCTGGGTTTTGAATCGAGAACCCCTTGTAAAGTGCTTGTACTCACTGTGTACAATGTACAACGTCCACTAGATGTTCATGTAAGTTTGCTCGTTCCGAAGAAATTGGCATCTTAAGCGGATGATCCAAACTGGCCTCAAAACTAGACACTATTAAATTGATGCAAGGGCTTGAGATACTCAGATGCATTGAAAATTTATCGTGATTTTATCCATACTCCCATTGAACTATGTAATCATCATAAATATTCATGACAATCCTTAGTTGAGGGAGTAATTCGGCTTTTCTCATTCTGTGAAAAGGTAGAACTGTAAGCTGAGAAAGGCTGTCTCGGCATATTTGAGGTCAAGGAATTTGGTCAACTTCTTCGGGCAGGAACCGCTTGAGTTGTTGAAAAATGAGGTAGTCGGATGGGAAGGAAAGATCGAGGGGTTTAATAACGTGGGAAATGACATTCTAATCGACTTCTTCTAACCTGAATTACTTGGTATTTGTGACGTGAGGCAGAACTATTATGCAGAAGAGGGGCAGAAACTATTCTCTGGCATGTGCGAGTTCCTGGAGCTTACTGTTTTAGATGGTGGCCATATTGTTTGGCAATGAACCTGGGAGCTGCAAACCTTCTTCGGGTGCTGTTCTGGATTAGAGCGGATCTTTTACTTCCAAGAGAATAACATTGTTGCATAGATGTTCAGCTCTCATCTCATGGTGCAAGAGCTACTCCCTATGGGAGTTTAGGAGTGGCTGGTTGATTGAAACTCGTTTGCGATGAAGATTGTCGGTCAGTTGCGCGGAACAGAAGAGCAAAACTTTCTCATAAACGTGTCTGTAAACTTGTCCGGCTACGTTGCTCTAACAGAACATAAACCACTAATGGCCGTATGGTTGAGGAGTCTTCTCCGAATGCAGTGGCTGCTTTCATAGTCCGCCGGCGTGCCAGCCGAGATAGTGCTAAGGGGGAGGAGGGAGGAAGACGTCGGTCGACGCGGTCGCGTCGCGCCCAAGACCTTTCGAAGGGCTGAAAACAAGGAAAAACAAGATCAAAAACCATTTGCACAAGCCCCTGGCTGTTTGGTTTTTGACCTTGTTTTTTTTTGTTTTCAGCCCTTCGAAGGGGCTTGGGCGCGACCGGCCATCTGCCTCCCTCCTCCCCTCTAGCACTACCTCAGCTGGCACGCCGGCACGCCGGTGGACTATGAAAGCAGACAGTGTTGATGTGGAATGTAAAAATATACGTGGCTTGGAGTCGCGACGTGTAAGACGATTGCTCGAAATCGTTACTCGGCATTTGCGACACGATTTATAAGAGCACTGGGAGACTTATTTGAATATTAATGGTGGTAAATGGAGATTGTACTAGAATGTGGCAGTAGCCCGAGTTGCTAAAAGATCTTATACGTATAGAGTGACGACTTATGCAAATCCTGATAGATGAAAAATTCTTGACGAGCATCATCTCTATTTTGGTTAGTTACTATTCATTTTCGAGGGACGAACATGGAGCGTCCGGAGATGCGCGCGGCAAACTGCGCAGCGAATAAATACACGATTTCTTTGGACTAATCAAATCGATGTACTTAGTTTCGTCGCTGTTTTGTGTATATGCTTTTATGTCCTGATGATGAACGCCAGAGTCGTCCATATCCCCACGAATCTCGCCGCGCAATGTGCTGCGTGCATCTCCGGGCGCACCAGTGTACCCATACCCCTCATTTCCAGCAGTAGGTGGTTAACACATTCGCTTTTATCATGCAGTGTGCGTTACCGGTTCAATCTTCACTGGGTGGTGCGTGTGTTTTATGAAAAAAAGGGTTGTGAACTACTAGTGAAATAGTCGCAGTCGCATCAAAACCTTTCCTAGATCTCCTGCCTTAACCTGAAATTATAAGTTTTTAAAAGGGGACAAATCTTGTCTAACGTTATTTTTATATGTACCTTGGACTCTTAGGTCATCAGTCGAGTCTGTGAACCACACGCAAAGGTGCTGAGAATAGCCATTGTTCGCAAATCACTGATGCAGGCTCTTGTCGAGTTTGAGAGTGCCGAGAGTGCCAAAAAAGTAAAGCATGCCATCAATGGAGCAGATATCTACTCAGGATGTTGTACGTTGAAGGTGGAATTCGCAAAGGTATGATGTTCAGTAGATTTCCTACTTCACGGATTATATAACGTACTTTTCAGCCAGATCATGTGAAGGTGACACGTCAAGATGCTAACCAGTGGGATTTCACACTCAGCGGAGCAGGCAAAGGTTAATCTTTATCTTCAATATCTATCTTTTTTCCACGTTTATAAAAGCCAGTTTTATGTCCTTTACATTGCCAAAACAGTGACAACTATTGTTTCTTTTGTAGTAGTAACTTTTCAGAAAATCAAGGTCCGGCAATGCGATCGCAAAGGAAAACACTTTTGCCCGGAGGAGGTGTGCAATCCGTTTTAGTGATCTACTGAAGCTTCTACATATTCTTAACAAAATGTGATTTAGGTGGCGCACTACGTTCCCTTCCTTCTACTCATCAAGGAGGTTACGGTGACGCTGAACCCTCAGCTCACTATCCTCCTGTTGAGGGAAATGTAAGTTTATCAATGCATGCCTTGTAAGTTATTCGCCAACCTCCACGAACGCTCCTGTTTAGGGACGTGTTCTGATGATTTACGGCATCGACCGCGAAAAGCTTAATTGTGAGAAACTATACAATCTACTGTGCCAATATGGAAATGTTCTCAGAGTAAGTCTTTTGAGTTTGTACTACTTTTTTTTAGCTCGGATAACAAGTATTCATTTATAGATTCGCTTCATGGCTTCAAAGAAAGATACAGCAATTGTTGAACTTGGAACTCCAACAGCGGTACGTCCTCAAGTACACTTATATCGCTATAAGTATGGAAAATAATAGCTTTTTTTTTGAAGGCTGGTAACGCTATTAAGTACTTGCAAGGAATAACGTTGTTTGGATTGACGCTACAGCTCAAACCAAGCATTCAGTCTGCTGTGAGAGACGTTGTGTAAGTGTTTTGAATTAAAATCTAAGATATGGGAATCTCAGTTTCTCGGTAATATCTTTTTTCCATATTTGGTGGGGGCTAACATGACATCATTTTAAGAGCCTTTCCTTTTTTGTTTGTATGGCCGTAATTAAAGATCATTTAGCGACCCGTTCGACCTTCCTGATGGATCTCCTTCATTCCGTGATTATTCGATGTCTGGCCTGCATCGCTTTTCTACTCCAGATGAAGCCGCTCGAAACCGATTGGTATATCCAACNAAAATGTTGCACTGGTACAACGCTCCTGCCAGTATGGATGAGGAGAAGATTAAACAGGTCTGCTATCTTTTTTATCTTTCAAATTTTCGTTCACGAATGCACTGGTTTCCGTTTCCTTCATCAGATTTCTTTTGCTTAGGTTTTTGCTGAGCGCGGTGCTCCAGAGCTGAAATCCGTTACAGTTTTTGTTGGACGCAGTGAGAAATCGTCGTCAGGGATTGTTGAATTGGAAAGTATTGAAAAGGCGAATGAGGCTCTTGCTCTTGTGAATCACACTCCTGTTGTGAGTAAAGTCGGCAAGGTAAGAAAGCTCCAATCTCCCATGTTTTTATGCCCTCCGTATGATTTTTCGTTTGGAATAAAAGACATTAAATTCTTCAGCCTCCTTACATAGTGAAGCTGGCATATGCTACCTCATCCCGACGACAAGGCGATGCGAAAGAATATGGTGAAGGTGGTGCTACCTGTTAGATAAAAGTCTATCTCTCGCTAATAAGTTTTTTGTTACGAGTTGTGTTGTTGTTGTTTAAATTTGAATTTGATAGAAGATTTTACGTTCGACTTTCACATGTGGAAGTGACGATATCACAAGCAGCCGCAACAGAAATCACATGTGACAATCACACCAAAGCATTACATTACAACCAACATGCAATCCATGCGTTTAATCAGATATTACAGTACACTGACACATTTCTGTTGAACGCGTATGTGACTTGGTGTTCACATCGCATTACTTGTTTGTGTCAGACAAGTAGCACTTGGCTCACAGAAGACATTGGAAGTACACAGTGCTTTCGGGCTGCTGTACATTGGCAGGTAGCTACTCTCTCAAGCGTACGACACTAGTTAGTAGCCTGCGTGAGGTTTGGATCAGGATTTGTGAAATTGTACTAGAGTTTGCTTCGGCTTATCACTGTTATTACAGGTTTTTACCTCCGGAAAGTGTATTCATGGGAAAGATTTTTTTGAGAGTGACGCTGACTAGTATAGGTAACAGCGTAATCGTGATCATCACAGTGGATTGATTAAACGTTTGGAGGGGGCAATTGTAATCGTTCAAAGTGGTGTGTTTTATCGTAGATGCCATAATCTGTTGGCTCCATCTGTGGCTGCTTTCATAGTCCACGACCGGTCGTTCGACTGATCGCGCCACCGGTCGCTCGATCGGTCGAGGAGGCCGCGGTAGTCATGGGTGCCGCCGCGGACGGTCCCTAGCAAATCGATCGCGATCAATCGAACGACAAGTTACGCGACTGGTCGCTCGCAAAATCGTGGACTATGAAAGATGCCAAACCTTCATGGGGAGAGGTGTTAAGAAAGGTGTATTCGTGATATGGAGATCGGAAGCCAACGGGAGCATATTTCATTGGCGAAGCTGATATTACGTTCTAATCGAGACCCTTTTTCTCATCATGCGTGAGACGCAGTTGAACTAGAACAGAGCTGATGAGCATATAGGTTATTATTAAAACCCGAGTGAGCTTGGTTCTCATCAGACTTGAGGGCAGCTAATTCAATAAATTCATAAGCCTGGTGATGTTACCTGGTTCAGGCCGGATTGTAGGCTGTTGATGGCTATCACGGAGACGCTTCAAAGAGCTAGTTTCTAAAGCGTGCTGTGGACGAAAGTTTACAAGACACTCTGTAACAGTGCCAGTTATATTTTAGTGGTATGGGAAACAGTTATCGGGGAGGGCGCAGTGCTCATCGAGGCTTTTGAAGCAACACACATTTCATCTAGACGATGACCAATTCAAGCTTCTTGTCATCTGCTGTTGAACTAGTTGCAGTTGTCCTGGAACATTGGAACATTGGCTTTGTTGTTCATTGTTGACTTTTTGTTCCTTTTTTAATGATTTCATCGTTAATGATCAATGGACGGGATGCCGTGAAAAAGTAAAAATACATTTGCTCGAGCTCCTTCTTACACGGATATTGGTAATATCTGGTTCAAAGTGGGTGAGGGTGCTCACATATGCTACCTAAGGCAACTTAGAAGAACAGTAATCAGGTAGAATGGGGATAACGTTCATGGCTACTTTCATAGTCCGCCGGCCGGCCCACGAGCGCTGCGCCGGCCGGGGGACTACTTGACCTGGGTGTGTGCCGATTCGTGCGTTTCTGAGTGCGCGCGGCGAAACTCGATCAGCTGGTCCTACTAATCTGGGATGTGGTGCGTTAGGAACGAAATGGTCGCGTCGCGGTGAGAGGG